AAATCAATTTTGACTCGTAAATTTGTTAGGTTGTATCAATGACGCCTCTATATTTACATAAACATTGCCATTGAACCCAAAACTTCTAAAAGATAGTAATTTTACTGTTTAATGATATGGTTTTTTTTTTTTTTTTTTTCCCAAAATTTATTTATTTAAATTTACGAACTTTGAAGAAGTAATTTTTAATGTGGTATTTGGTTCCGTCCTGAATGTTCTATTATCCATATCTACTCTCATTTCAACGATTCCGCTATGCCATCGCGTTGTCGCCACTGAATTCCGAGTGTGCCTCTACAGCAGAGCTCGCCCAGAGATTGTAATGGCTTTCACTTCCACTCTCATCACCGCCTCTTCTTCTTCAACCTCTCTTCTCTTCCCCTTTGCCCTCACACCCTCCAAACCCCTCTTTCCTCCCAACCGAATCGCCCCTTCTTTGGGTCTCGGATTGTCCGTGAAAGCCCAGACTCTTGAATTTTCAGGTTCCTTCTTCGAAGGTGGATTTGGGGCTGAGGATGAGCCGCCGGCCCCTCCGGGGACAGGATTCGCCGATGCCCTTGAAGATAAGGAGGAGCCTCAGTGTCCTCCTGGTCTTCGAAAGTACGAGACCATGGTGATTCTGAGGCCTGATATGTCTGAAGATGAAAGACTCGCTCTCACCCAGAAGTACGAAGAGGTAATGGCATTTGAATTGTTGGTCTCTTCCCTTTCCCCTAATTTATCTTTGGTTTCTGTGGAAAACTGAATGCTTTTTAGTCTAGTTTCATTTCATTCAGTGTGTTATTGTGTTTAAATTGGTTTGAAGATCACATGCTCTTTCTGGCCTTCCTAAGCAATGAGGTGGGAGAATGGGAACAGAATTCCACCTTCCTTCGGTATCCAGCATCTTTGCTGGCAGTACCTCTTCGGATCTCAGCTTACTCACTGACACATCGCTCGGTGTATAGCTTTGATTCTATTTGTAATAGTCTAAATCCACCACTAGCAAATATTGTCCTTTTTCGATCTTTTTTTCAAAGCTTTTAAAATGTGTCTGTTAGGGAGAGATTTCCGTATGCTTGCATAAAAATGTTTTTAGCGTGTATGGAGAGCAGTTGCCTTTATGGAATGCTGTGGCAGAATTCTAATGTAGGAGTTAATGTAGGAGTTTTGCTGTCGGCTCTGTTTCATTGGAGACGGTATGACAGGGGTCTTATGAGTCTAGGTTTGTGTAATATTTAGTAGTAAATATTTTCCATTTTGACCCGTTTGTTTTGGTCTGTTACATATCGCTATCAACTTCACGGTTAAAAAATGCGTCTGCTAGGAAGAGGTTTCCACACTCTTATAAAAAATACTTCGTTTTCCACTCCAATCGATGTGGGATCTCACAATCCACTCCCTTGAGGGCCAAGCGTCCTTGTCCTTGTCCTTGTCTATTTGTAATAGCTCAAACCCACCACAAGCAGTTATTGTCCATTTTTGTCTGTTGCGTATCGTCATTAGTCTTACCATCGTAAAAATGCTTCATTTACTTTTCCATTGGAATCTATATTTTAAACACTTTGGTTTGGTCTTTTGATCTCCTGTCAAACAAATTTACTTCATAAACCAACTTTTAGTGCTTGGAAAACAGTGTAGTATTAAACAGCTTTGATGTGGAGGGCACTAGCTAGGACAGTGACAGCGTTGAGACCAATGTTTATGAGAGAACATTCAAGAAAGGCAGGAAAGAAAGGAAAGTCACCAAGCATTTTTGGAGGAAGAGTTGCCTGATCCGAATAGCAACATAGCATAGTTGCCTGATCCGAATAGCAACGTAGCATAGTTGCCTGAATGGACAATTTATTTCTCATAGGGAGCTGTTTGCTTGTTATATTCTTTATAAGTATGCATTCGTGATTTTTAACTTAGCTATATCAATAGAATCCTCAAATATCGAACAAATAAGTTGTGAGTCTCAAAGATGTATCAAAAGTGACTAAAGTGTCGAACAAAGAGTGTACTTTATTCGAGGGTTTCAGAGAAGAAGCCAAGTCTTGATTAAGGTGTAACGGCCCAAACCCACCGCTAGCATATACTGTCTTCTTTGGGCTTTCCCTTTTCGGCCTTTCCCTCAAAGTTTTTAAAACGTGTCGGCTAGGGCAAGGTTTCCACACCCTTATAAAAGTGTTTCATTCTCCTCCTCAACCGATGTGGGATCTCACAATCCACCCCCCCTTTTGGGGCCCAGCGTCCTCGCTGACACTCGTTCCCTTCTCCAATTTATGTAGGACCCCTCAATCCACCCTCTTCGAGGCCCAACATTCTTGCTGGCACACCGCCTCGTGTCCACCCTCCGGCTCAGCCTTCTCACTGACACATCGTCTGATATCTGGTTCTGATATCATTTGTAACGGCCCAAGCCTACCGCTAGCAGATATTGTTCTCTTTGGGCTTTCCCTTTCAGGATTCCCCCTCAAGGTTTTTAAAAACGCGTCTGTTAGGGAGAGGTTTCCACATCCTTATAAAGAACGTTTCTCCTCTCCAATCAATATAGGATCTCACATAGGGGAGGCTCTATGATGTACGTTGTTCGAGGGGAGGATTGATCATGGGTTCATGAGTAAGGAATACATCTCCATTAGCATGAGGCCTCTTGGAGAAACCAAAAGCAAAGCCATGAGAGCTTATACTCAAAGTGGACAATATCATATCATTGTGGAGATTCGTGATTCTTAACAAGTAATTTAAACGATATATATAAGCAATCATTGGTGGGTAAGAATCAAGCTAGTTTCGTTTTGTTTTCGTTTTGTTTTCAGCATAGTGTTTGATAAGAATGGGTCATTTTGCAGTTGCTTGTTGCTGGTGGTGGCATGTATGTGGAAGTATTCAACAGAGGGCTCGTTCCACTAGCATATAGCATCAAAAAGAAGAACAAAGCTGGTGAAACCAACACTTACATGGATGGCATCAACCTCCTCTTCACCTACTTCACAAAACCGGAATCGATGAGAGTTCTCGAGGCTGTGCTTCAAGCAGACGACGATGTCATTCGATCAATGAGTTTCAAGGTAAGGAATCGAAAATACTAAATCTTGCCATCTGACACTGTAAATCAAATTTCTTGGTGTTTCACATCATGTTTTGTACAATTTGATTCAAAGCAATGGGAAAAAGATGTGTAGTTGCTGTTTGTGCTTATCCTTTTCAGATTGAGTGCTGCTATTGTGACAACTCTATGGCCATTTAGCCTTTATCCATAACCATCTGATTGCTGTTCTTTTTAATCCCCGAACGCTTCAAATGCTCTGAATAGGATTTTTGCGGGTTTGTGTAGTAAAGTCTTGTACATGTCCTCCTTTTAGTCTTAGTACAATCTTTAGTGAATATAGTAATATACTGGAACGAGAATGAAACTTTTCTGAACGTCCTAATCGCAATCATTGAGAAACGAAAAAGTTTTCAATGAAACATTTGTGGATAATGATTAAAAAATGACCCGAGACTGAAATAGAGTAAGATTAGACGTTGATCTTTCATAGCTGGAAAAGTCACTCTGACTATGAACCACTATGAACCATTTTTTTAATGATCCACCAACTATTGTCCTGATCTATCGATCAACCAACATTCTCCTTAAAAGTGCTTAAAGAAACAGAGAAAAATACGAACATAGAGTAGAATTTCAGAGCTGTTTTTCTTTTAACTTTTTCTAAGTTGTGATCCAATAAAGGATTAAAGTTAACGATATTGTTAAGAGTTGAAATTATTAATTAAAAATGAGTGATTGTGAAAGGAATAAACTTATTTATTTCTTAGTTGAGAAAAAAATAATATATTTTTTTTTTACCCTTTTAAATGAAAGTCATTTGAAGATTTTATTTATTGTAAGAAAACCAATTTATAAAATAGAAAAGTATTCTGAAAACAATCTTCAAACGAACTTTGGTAACACATCAAATGTTTTTTTCAATGATGAGAAGTTCAGACTCTAAATATCACTTTATGATAATGCTTTGAACATATTCTTTCCTTTATCTTTTTCATTATTTTTTTGTTAAAGATTTTTATTTTAATAATAAATAAAATAGAAAAAAATGCAACTCAACCCGAACATAATTTAATTGTTGAAATACTAATTATTGTCTCAAAAGCTCGATGTTTCGATCTCATTCTCGTTCAAATCAAAATAATGTAATTTTTATTCGGTTCAAAACTTAATTCAAATTTTTAACTTGTAATATGCTTAAACAATTATATTAAGACCTCAATAATAAAGAAATCGTAAAATGTACGTCGTAAAATGTACAGAAGACTACAAAAATTAAACAATTATATTAAGACCTCAATAATAAAGAAATCGTAAAATGTACGGAAGACGTCGTAAAATGTACAGAAGACTACAAAAATCGACGTGAATATAATTAAACAATTCAACCATTATTGATATCTAAAAGTTCAAACTTCACTTAAATTAGTATTATATATACATACATACATATACATATTCCTTAATTTTAAATGCTACTTAATAAAAAATTTCATTGCAAAAGAGGTATATTTATAGAAACTAAAACAAATATATCAATATCCATAGTAATCGATATTTCAATAAATCTATAAATCAAACGGTCAATATTGATATTAAGAATTTATCAAATCTCATATATCTTTTATAAATGCACAAAATTAACTAGCTTGGAAGCAAAAACTACTTGATTATGAACTTAAATAATTCTTATACTTCCTTTTTATTTATAGAAATTTCTATTGATATCCATATTATTGTGTCCATATATCAGAAAAATTGAAATCTTAACATCAATATTTTAATCTCTGTTTGAATTTTATTGAATAATTATTTCAAATTTGTTATTGGTCCTTGTATTTTTAAAAATTTTAATTTAGTTTATGAACTTTCAAATCAAAATGAAGGTCCTTGTACTTGTACTTACGAAAATGAAATTTTGTTTCCTGTACAATTAAAAACTTAATTACATCTCATTCTAAATAGGAGCAAGTATCGAGTAATCAAAATCATCAATTATCAACTCAAAGGATTTCAAAAGTCCGTAGTTGGATTCTAGTTGAACTTCCAACCCTTCATCACTTAATTATTCCAACTTCCAACCTCTCATCACAGAAGAAAAGTAAGAAAAGAACAGGAACCAAAAGAGAGAAGAAAAACATCACATGCAGTGGCAACAGGGAATGAATTAACACACTGTTTGCTGATGGGACAAATTGAGGGACAACCTTAATGTTATGTAATAAAATTGTGTACTGGGTAACGTGTTCAAGTTGAATTTGAACCGAACCAGAACCCAATTTGCTGTCAATTATGAGGTTGTTTCCTTTTCTTCTTTTTTCCTTCCTAAAGGTGGGTAGAACCCATTTTGACCTTCTAACCAAACTGCTTTACATCTGAAGTTACAATGATTTGTAAGAAAAGAACCCATCTTTCTCAAGCAGAAACAAGGAAGATGGTTTGGCTTATGGCTTATGGCTTATGGCTTATGGAAGTAAGCTTTTGGAAGATTCAAACATGGGGGCCTCAGTGCTTGGTGAAAACAGAGCCCTCTGCTCTGCTACTAACTCAGTGGAGGGTTGTGGCCATGTCCCATCATCAAAAAGAACCCTCCAAATGGCCTTAATTTGCTTATATTTTCTTGACAAAGTGACATTATTTTAACAAATCCCCTCTCCTTTTCTGACCTTAAATTCAAACAAGCTTCTCCATTCTCTCTCTTTCTCTGTATAGGCAAAGACAGAAGCTCTCTTTCTTTCTTTCTTTCTTTCTTTCTGATTTGGCTCGAGTTTTTGGGTTTGATCTTTATAAGTTTATTGCTTTGCTCTGATGGGTCAGCCTCAAACTCCAGCCCCTCCTCATCTTTATCCTCAAGCACTTCAACTTAAGCTTTATCAGGCCTTCATATTCTCCATTCCCATCCTCTTCTCCATTATTCTCTTCCTTCTTTTCTACTTGTTTTATCTCAAGAGAAGGGCTTCCTCTCTCTCTTCTTCTTCTTCTTCTTCTTCTTCTTTTCCCCCAATACTTCCAACTACTTCCAATACACTCACTCTCTACGTTACCACTGTAAGCAAAACTCCTCTGTTTCTTCATCTTCCTAGTTTGCTGTCTTTTTCTTATTCTGGGTGTTTCCATTTCTGTAATTTACTTTTGGGGTCAGAGAATCTAAGGAAGATTTGAAGCTTTAGCATTCATCTTTTTTCCTTTTTTGGAAATGGGTGTTTGATTTGCAGTGATTTTGTGCCATTTTTCTTCATCTCACTGATCTTAATTGTACAGGCTTGTCAAGTGGACTTGAAGGCTGATAATCCCGTAGACAAACTTCCTAAGATCCTATTCAATGAAGAGCTAAGGACCAGAGATTCTCTGTAAGTGTCATCATTTCTGATCGTTAAAAGATCTGTGGCCCTCTGAGTTTCTTTACTGAATTTACAAAAGATACCACAAAGATAACAGGAATGGAATACTTTTTTCTTCTTTATATTCGTTAAAGTATTCAGGATAGAAATCAATAGGTGCACCTACTAAAGTTAAGTAAAGGAAGCGATAGCGGATTCTAGATTATATCAGTTGGGTAAGCTAGATTGGGATTCTAAAAAAATCTCCATGAATTCTTCTATGCAAGAGACGTCCTCAGGTGGTTTAGTGATGTCTCCAACAGTTTTACTTGATCTCCAGATCGAATAATTTGTGTGTATCGAGATATCTCTACGACTCATTAGAATAGAAACTAATGTGTTAGAAAGAGATAAAAGGGGACAAAAATACAGAACAGTCAAGAGATAGAGATGGAAGGTTTAGTGACTTAAATAGGGAGCACACATAACATAACAAACAATGATAAAGCTAAATGCTAAACAGATTTTTTTTTTTTTCAATTTCTGTTGATTTTTTTAGATTACTGTTCTTTTGAAGGATTGGAATCTCTTATGACATCCTCTCTTTAATTTCTCAAAAGTGGGTTTAAACTTTTTGGTTCTACAAGTTACTTTTGTTTTTGTCTTCTTTTGTTTGAAAGGAGTTATTTGTAGAACCTTAGGCCGACAAAATTGATATTGAAGATGAAGGGCATGTTTGGTTCTTTTTTGTACATAGTAATTATGTTTCAATATTCTTTTATTACTTTAGTAAATTAATAATAGTTTGTAATTTAAATCCTAGTTTTAAGCACTCCTACGAGGATGGCCTTGTTTGTTTGTATCTTTTAAACCTTTATTTCTCTTCACAAGGATTGAACTTTTTGTTTATAAACCTAAATTTCTCAAATAGATATTATAAAGGCCAACATGAATAGAAATTACATAATTATTGAACTAAAAGCATAAATCTAGAGTTAGAACATCGTTTCAACAAATGTATAGTATGAAAATTAGAACTTTCAAACTTAAGAAAAGTGCATGTCCATTACCGTGGAGTATAGTTGAGGTTGGCCCCTTCTTGCAATTAAACGTCTCCAATTTGGGGGGAGAGATTGATATTTGAAGTCAACCTTATATTGCCTTAGGATGTGTGGGGTTGAAAATGAGCACTGAAACAAAAAAAAAAAGTAATGATTTTCTTATCCATTTAACAGGTGTTGCGTCTGCCTAGGAGAATTCGAGATAAAAGAGGAATTGTTGCAAGTCCCATCATGTAAACATGTGTTTCATATTGACTGCATGAATCACTGGCTCACCTCCAACTCAACTTGTCCTCTCTGTAGATGCTCAGTCATCCCAACAACCAGGTGTTTTGATCTGCCGGTTGTGGTGTCTCCCCCACCCCCGCCATCGGCTGGCTCATCGGAGCCTCCCCCGACTTCCGACCAGACTGCAGAGATGAGATCATATTCACTCCTACATCCGCAGCTGCAACAACAACAGGAAGGATCAAGTCAGAGTATATGCTAAAGGTATTGATCCAACACTGCTGGTTGAAATGGACTAATAACTCAAAAGAGTGACTCCCATGGAGGGAGAACCAGTTGTCCTCCATATTCATACACAAACATATATATATATTAACAAGCTTTTTGCAACCTCCCACTGTAATTGATAGCAGCTAGCCAGGCATTGTGATCTTCAGACAGCCAAAACAGTCCTGTTAGAGATCAGAATGTAAAGAGCTATTACTTGAACATTGCCAACTAGAACACTTCCTGTCTCCCCTCTTCATTGCATTAACCACTGAATATGAAAAGTAAGGAAATAAAGGATTCTATTGTTGAGTTTGTGGGGCATATGGCTTAAACATCTCATGCAGGTAACTTAAAACACGAGTTATACTTGAACGAAAGAGGATTTGCATTTGAATGCGTTCAAATTCAATGCTTCCAGTCTTCTGCCTAGTTGAATAAAATGATCGAAGTGCAGACAATACATATATTTACATTGATCAGGAAAGAAAGAAGAAGGCTCACACAAACTCATCCCCTTCCCAGAAACCAAACGCCACTGATAAAATGCATTATTACACCGAACATCCAGTCGAACTCCTTCGGCAACTACTGAGACTTTCATGTTATTAAAATCCAGTTTGGCTTGTAATCGACTCTAAAAAACGTACCGTCACATAAACAGCCCTTCATTTGCCCTGGCTTTCAATTTCATATTTTATTATCGACCTAGAACCAAAACAAGCTCTAACAAAACAAACAAACATGGGAAAGACATCGGAAGTGGAGTTTAAATGATAAAAATTAAGTTCCTATCTCAAACTGCAGGGGAGTCGAGGATTACGGCAGCCCCTTCGACTTCTATTGACGTCAGCTGCTTGCTTCCTGAGCTCATCTTTTTCACTTGCTCCCTAGAGCATATAAAAATTCTTCTCACCATGTTACAAAATTCTCTGCGAAAGATGGAAAACAAAGGAATAAGTGGAAGCAAGGACTATGAGAAGAATCATGTAGATTGAACCAGTAGTATCTAATTGTACTCACTCCCATGGGTCGTCTCCAACAAGCATCATATCCCCTTCATCGTCAGTATATACAATCTCCCACTTATCACGAGCACACAGCTGACCCCTAACATCAAACATCTTCTCAAGCTCATCTATTAGTTGGTCATAGCCTTCTAAGATGGTTAAATCCACTGCCCTACCCACGGCCATCCCATGCATGTGAACCTTTCGACACAATTGGACATCAAACAAAAGTAAAACAATAATTCCCTACTTAGTTCTTGAACACAAAATTCTTTACAACTAAATTGAGCGAACAAATTTAACTTCTGCACCTTGGTGCGGCTTCTAGTGTTAGCTGAGCTACTTTGATTGCTTTGAGTCTCCTTCAGAGATGCTTGTAATGGTTCTGATTTTCTTTCTACAGAGACCTCCAAGTTGTCAGATTTTGGATCGGACTGAGCTACTGACAAGGTACTGCTGCGCCCGTCTGTGTCACTAGACACACTGCTTGGTTGATAAGATGCTTTCTCAGCAGGAAGTTTAGCCAAATGATTGAGATCAATACCAAACAATCTACAAGTAGCTACTGTTTCTCCTTTCCTCCCATTTTCAGTGGAATCAAGTATTTGTTCATCACGTAACTTAACCAAATGAGAGGTTGAAGGTCCTGACAGAAAAGACCAACCACAGCCAGGGACAGTTTTATAATCCTGGGCCATGTCATTTACTGGGTGTTTATGACTATTGGATTGGGTAGAAGATAGCCAGGTCCCATCAGCCTGTGTTCTTGATACACATGTCCTGTTACTGATAGCATCTGTCTCTCTGTGGTGACACAATTCATTATTTTCACCTTTTCTGCTTTCAGCTGCATTACTGGACTGTTTACCATCATGTGACTCTGCCAATCCAGAATCCCAAAGTGCTGGCTTAGGCAAATCAGCACCATCTACAGTTCAATTAGAAACCAAGAATAAAATAGAAGCTGGAATACAAATTGGACCGACTGATCCAGTGACTCGCACATATGTCTATAAGGAAAAGAGACCAGATAAAAGACAACAGAGAGCAGAAAGAAACCGTCACACCATGAGCTGGAGTTGATTGTCGAGGCCTTTTGTTTTTTGAAATCGGTTGAGATAGACCTGTGACTGCTGAAGACGTGAGTGGTTCTATATCCCAAGGCGATACCCTGTCGGGTCTTAGAATAGATGTTTGTTCATCCCATTGAACCTGGAAACAATTAAATTAAGTAAATAATTCAAAAGGGATTTTAAAATGATATTCCCGGTGGGAATTGGGTTCACGGCAGCTCACTCTTAGTGATCTCCAACTTGAATTAGGCCAATGAGGTGAAATATCTGTAGCTCCAATAATAGTTCCTGAAAACCTAAGAAGTCAAAAAGAAGAAGAAAAAAAAAACATCAAGAGATAAAACTCAAAACATCTCGAACATTCTAGTAATTTTATTATTTATTTCACTACCTTCTCTCCGGAGAATCCTCTCCCTCAAAACTCATGTTGAATCTCATGCCAACAGAAAATTTGTTATTGACTGCTTCCAAGTATTTATTCAGACTTATTATGAACTGACAAGTCCTGATTTAAAGGAGAAAAGGGTTTCAGTCCGCTTCAATGAGTATATAATTGACTTCAGAGTTAAAATCCTGAGTTACCTAGGTTTATAATAGACTACAAAGCGGGTTTGAGTTGTAACAGCATGAGACGCAGTTGCTAGCACTCCTAGGTGCATGCTCTGACTTGATATCACAGATGATGGCATGCTGCTCTGCTGTCGAGCACGGCGCCTCACCCCAACATGCAACTCTCCATTGTCTCCCCTATTCAAGCAACTCTCACGTAAATTAAAGCTTGTACAACCAGAGAAATTAAACACAGATTATAGTTCACATGATGATACATTAGGTTTTAAAGGTCTAATAAAAATACAGATACCCTAACCACTCATAACCTACGAGTTAAATACTTATGCAACTCCAGTATCAAGTCATGTTCGTAACTAGCTTAAGTTGGCAATCTATGTTTTCATAAAACTCTTGCAACATTTGAATGTTTAATCCTTGGGGATGGCTTGCAGAGGGCTCTAGAATAATGGTAAAAAATCAATCACTGTGCTGCATTCTCATAATCACACCAGATACTGCTTGCTGCTGTTCTTTGTTTAGTGAATGCAGGATCTGACTCAAGCAAAAATATCACTGCTAAATAAGTAATACCCGTGAACATCTTCATTATTAGCAGATGTGTTTGCTCATGCATGAGGCCTTAGAGGATCTTCATTCAAACAAACAACAGTTTACGAGATCAAACAATACGTGTGCTTCACATATTACGTCTTTTTGGTTAAATTACAACTTTAGCTCATGAACATACATATTAGTGTCAAATAGGTCCATGAACTTTCAATCTGTGTCTAACAAGTTTTTGAACTTTAAAAATTATCTAATAAGCTCCTAAACTTTCTATTTGTCTAGCAAGTCTTTGAGCTTTCAATTTTGTTTATTTGAACCTTGACCCATTCAACATTTCTTAATATTCACGAACTTTCTAGATATAAATGGAAAGATGATTAACATCCTATTAGACACAAAGATCAATTTTATTCTCAAAGATTCATTAATTTTAAAAAAAGTTGAACATATCAGCAACTTTTAAGATACAAAATTTCAAGTTTAAGGACCTATTAGGCACAAACATGAAAGTTAAAGGAACTAAACTTGTAATTAAACAATTTTTTTTCTATCACTAAAGAGTCCATAGCATACAATATTACAAGGAGAAAACCGCATACAATATTAAGCTTAAGATAATTTGTAGTTGCAATGTAGGTTGGAAACTTGAGTAACAGTCGAAGCATTTTGAGTATGTTGAGCAGTCTAAAAATCCAAACCCCGTAACTTCATATAGTAGATTTATGCTAGACTAGGTCCTTCAGTTTTTTCCCAGTGAGGCTTAGGTTTTCCACATAACATTGCTTTGTTAACCCTATCTCTTTCTGTCTCTCTGTCTGTTCATGTGCCTCAAAGTTATGTATTTGATTAAAGTTCAAAACCTCTCTGTCCATGTTTGAAGTTAACACAGTCTGATTCTCGCACATAAAAACGCAATGGACAGGGTGGATGAGGAAGAGACGATAGATAAAACTGTTACCTCAAGAATACAAAGGAATCCCCAGCAGATAATCTCTTAGAAGTAACAAATGTACTCCACCCAGTTGTTAACAGATGCCTTCGTGGCTGACCTGATCATGTAATAAAGAAAATTTTATTGGCAAAGCAGACGGGATAACCAAACTTTCACCCTTTTCATAAAAGGGGATCGCTTAATGCAATAAGCCAAATAACATATGATTAAGCAAATTACATAGATCAATGACTAAAGAAAAATCTCTGTATATAAGATCTATAAATGATTAGATAATGCATTACCTCTGAAAATATGCTTGAATCGCCACTCGTATCCATGAAGATCCTTGGCTACCAGATCCTGAGTTGGGGTAGCCTGAGTCATGTCCTGGAAAAAAATTCAGAACGGAAATTAAGAAGACTGAAACTGAGAGAGAGAGAGCAAAAACATCTCTTGTAGGAGGAATAAAAAGCAAGTCTCACCAAAGGCGGTAGGCACTCAGTAGCATGTTTTCGGAGGACAGAAAACCCACCATGAGTGCTGGTATCAGAAGCAGTTAAAACCTTGCAGAACGAATGAACAACTGGTCTAGCTGGTTCAGGAGGACATGGATCTAGGCTGTTAGGCTCATTTTGCTGCAGATATACACCAGAAATGAAACCGGTTGTCATGCAGAAAAACAATTTCCAATTTGACAGGCCAAATTTTCATCAATAATCAAAATTTGGAACAACTCTTACATTTGATTCCGGCATCAAAGCTATTTGTGCATAAACCTCATCCGATTCATGATCTGCCTACGAGTACGGAGGAAAATAATAAATAAAAACACAATACTTTATTCATTAACTGATACATGAAGTTGAATGTTAAAAAATGTGAAGCATGCGAAAGTGAATGAACCAATACCAATACTTGAAATCTTAAAAAGGTACAACAAAGCTTAGCAGGTCAGATATTCTGGGAAGGGACAAAAATGAAGAACGAAATAAGAAGGATTTAAGCGGCACTTCTGCCTAGATTCCCCAATCTCAGCACAAAACTTAAAATGAAATAAGCAGAAATAACAAAGCAACTTCAGATGATAAAAAGTAGTACCAGCAGCTCAATATGAATTACACGACAGAGAATCTTCGAGGAAAGATTACACAGAGGAATTCTCTTATTCAGCTCCAGATT